GGACATCTTAAGACATAGCTGGAAAAGCTCCAAGTGATGTATGGTATATACTATGTACATATTAAAACCACTATGCATATGAATCTTTTTACCTTATCTGTGAAGGAAGAGAATCAATGCCACCAAAAACTCTTTAAAGACTAATGTACCATGAAAACATATTCTCCAAGGTAACTATAAGTGTGTAGCTTAAACTTATTTTAACTAGTAAGACAATCCTGATCCTTTGAAAAAAATATAAATTGTGACAGAAAAACTATAACTCGAAAAAGGTACATTACCTACAAGTCTACTAACCAAAATTAACTGGTACTTCAGCTCTTTATAAGTTCAATGATAATCGATTTTTATACACAGATACACTACAAGAATTTTAGTGTTAATTAAATTTCATTCTAATCCCATTCTTTAAACAGAGAAATACATTCCAAACGAGTTGAAGAAAATACCGTACGTGGAATAAAAATAAATTACAGCTTGAGCCTCAGCTTGGCCACTATCACATCCTGTGGCCTATGGCAATACAGTTATTTCTCTCATTCAAAGTGTTCTCCTCTATGAAATAGTGATATCATCCTTTGCCTTGCCTATTCTTAGAGGTTGCTTTAATGTCACATGAAATGATGAGCCTAAAAGTATTTGTCAACTCTAACTACATGACTGTGCATCAAGTAACCATAACGATCAGAATTTAACTAGAGGACTGAATTGCTCAGAAGTTATAATACGTGCAAAAGTAATACTTGGTGATCTCACTACATTTATATGCTCTGAATGTTCAGACGTGATCCTATGCTTAGGATGGTATGCTCTTCTAATAGACAGACTGGGTCATCTTTCACCATCTAACTCATTTATTAAAACTTCGAGGCTATTAGTATTAAGTGAATAACACAGGCAGTAACCGAGCCAGTCAAGAGCAGTAATCTACCGTTTCTCTGTCAACCTTCCCTTACTAGTCTCCTCTTATCGTAGGAGATATTAGATCTCATAATCTCATTTCACAGTTGCTACCAACTTTTGAATAACAACTGTGTATCAGGCAGTGTGCTAATGCTGACGAACTATTTCATTTTAACTCTCAAAATAAACCTTCAAGCTCTTACTGTTTTCCCAATTATATACATGAGGAAACCAGGGCTGAGAAATAAGTGGGCCTCCCCACTACCATAACACCAAGAATCAAACCCAGGTCAGCTCGATTCCACATTCTCATTATGTTGTATATGTCACTTTGTCTCTAATCATTTCATTATGCTAAGCACCAGTGACTTTTCTCCTTGTCAGGTTTTTTGTTGTTGTTTTTTTTAACAAAAAGCATCAAAAGATAGACAATGAGGCAAGGATTTGAACAAGTACTTCATGAAAGTAGATATCCGAATGGTTAATAAGTATATGAGAAGATTCTTGTTTCATAAGTCATCAGAAAAACACCATGTAAAACCATCATGGGGTACTTGTCCACATTCGCCAGACTGGCTAAAATGTAAGCTTACACCAAGTTTTGATCAGTCTAAATCGATCGAACCACTTTGGAAAGCTGTGTATCAGTACTGACTTAAGCTGAATATATATGGATACACACACATATATACACACACACACCACGACTTGGCAATTTCATCTTTAGATTTATATCCAACAAAAACGCATGAACATTCACAAAATGTCACAAATGTTCACAGCAGCACAACGAATAAGAGTCCCAAACTGGAAACCACGCAAATACCTACTGACAGCAGTACAGATCGTTAAATTATGAGATGGTCACGTAATGGAATACTATACAACCATGAAGAGGAGCAAGCTACTCTATTACAACCACGTGCAAACACACGGATTAGTCTCACAGATATCATGGTGAATCACAGAAGCCAGACAGAAAAAGAGCACATGTTGTATGAGTTCATTTGTAAACATTTGGAAATAGGAAAAACTAATGCATGCTGTTAGAAGTCAGATTAGTGGGTACCCCAGAGGAGGGGAGAGGTGACTGGGGAGTGGACGGGAGGACGAGGGAGCTGACATCCCTTGGTTTCTTGATTTGATGTTGGTTACACAGGCCCATTCTCTTTTGGAACTTCCATCAAGCTTAACACTTATGAGTTCTGTACTTTTCTGCACATATGTGATATGTCAATAAAAAGTTTACCAAAACAAGTTAGGATCAATCTCTGCACCCCCATGCACACAAACATCAATATTTAAAAGTGGTTTACCAGAGATGCACACAGAGCTTACTAAACATATATCTTGTTAAGTTTATTTATTCGGCTGACAGATTTCCACATCATTTAATAAAATAAAAACAGCAAGACAGTTTAAATAAAAATAGGATTTTTTTTTCCTGAGATATGAAGCTGAGTTCTCAAAGAATGACTGTTAGGTATAAATGGCATAATGAAGACTAGATTGTGAATTCAAATAATATCAAAAAGAGAGAGGCTTATGCATTGTGTCTTATAGAGAAAGCAAAGGGTCACAGCCAACAGGGTGGGACCGCCGTTCGCAGAATAAGTTTTGAATATGAAAGCCACATTACACAAGCCAGGGGAGGGAGCCTAACAGAGGTGGCAGCTGTGGAAGGTAAAAACCTAGATATGCAGCATTCTGGCATATGTATATAACTTTATTCCAAACCCACATACCTTTCATGTTCTTTCTAAGAGACAACGTTACAGTAGGAGGAATCCTTAAGAAAGCTGTCAGACTAAAAAAAAAAGGTGTAAGAACTAGTGGAGGATTGAGATACACACATACGCATCAACTGATTTCTATATTATACCATATATATATGTTTTACATATATATACTTTCAATTCCCAAACTTAAGTTGGCACTTAGTACTGGCATGATCTAAGTCATCACTCCCTTAAAACTGACGACAGACTCGAGAAAGGACACCAGGACAGTCTATTCAGTGGACATGACCCCAGTCCTGATACTCCACGTGGCTTTGGGCTGCCCTCTGCTCTGCTCACCACCTGGCTATTTGATGAGCAGCTTCGAGGCTCCATGTGTTGTCTGCTCCACGGGCTAATTAGCGGTCACATTGCCAGATATACACAAAGTGGGTTCTTTTTCTCCAAGAAATGAAATATATGTCAGATTCAGTGCCCCTGTAGCTTTGGGTTGTCTCTCGATCAAGAAAATTGCGATCCATATATTAAACTACTGAAGAGCAGAGGCTAAAACAACAGCAGGTGGGTTACAGGTTGGAAGTCGCAAGATAAATGTTCTAAAATAAATGAAAATTTATTTCTAGTGACCAAGATGTATGAATCTCCTTTATATTTAAAATATAGTTGAGCTATGTGTTTTGTGGTCCCATAATCAAAATAACGGGGTAAAAAAGTTTGAGAATTAGCAGATGAACTGAACCTTCTAACCTTTCAGGCAAGATTCCAGAAAATATAGATTATGCCATCTCCCCTATTTATTTACATGTTCAATGTCAGAAAAAGGACAAAAACAAGTAAGGCAAAAATTATTGCTTTGTTTGAGGCCTTATTTCATAATTCCTCTATTCAATAGGCTAGACAACCATAGATTTCTTCAAATTCATTATATAAGAGTAAACAGAAATTTATAAAGCCATAATATTTTTAGTCTTCATTATATTATAAAAACTATGGTTTTAAATTTCAAATTTTTATTTTTAAGATTTTTCTTTTTGTAGGTAATTTTATACTTGAAAAACTTTGTAACACTCATTCTCAAATCCTATTAAAAAGCAACTGCTTTTTTTTCTGTTGGGAAAAAAATAAACATCTCTCCACGCAGATGTCATCTTTAAAAATCTTTGCTGGCTGCCTCACTATAGCACATTTACTCCTTACGTGTCAACTGTTGCTTTCGAAAGACAAATGGCCCCAGATATATAACGATTAACCACAACCTTTAATTAAAGGGGCTTTTAATGATTTTACTTATTGAATAAAATTGGATATGATCTTTACGATTTGATATAGTTATCCCTTCCTCAGCCTCGCACTGCTAGTCCAACTTTTTCATTTCGATCCTATCAGATTTTGACCTTGTTTGTCCTGGAAATGTCACATATCTCCTCGGATAGCCTGTCTTCCAAGGTCACAGATTTCTTTACACTGTACGCTTAAGTATTGATTAGCTCTTTGTAGGTTTTTCTATTTGTTTCGTGGCCAGCACTCTCCGACCGGTGTTAAACAATTCAGCACTGCAGTTTGGTCAGCCTGCATGAGCCTCATTTCCTGTCACATCACTCTCTGAAAATAAGGTGGCCGCATGCAAAGGGAGTATGGAAATAAAGCAAGCGCTTCCTCGGAGCTTGTCAGAGAGCGTACTGCACAGCATATTTCAATTAGCATCCAATCGTTTTAAGTAGTGATACTTCAATGTTTGTGTAAGCCTGCCTTATAAAATTTAATACTCAGACAGCCATCTTGCAAAACACAGCAGGTCCACGAAATAAGGGCTATTTCAGTGAAAATAATCACAGAATGACAGAGCTGCTGTAAATGCTGGCATTAATGCAACAGCTGTGTCATCCATCAAATGATTATCCTCGACTCTTTCTGAAGCTGTTCAAAATAGGATTTAATGGTAGTCTCTGTGGCTTTTAATTTGCCAAACTCCGTAGCATCTCTCTCTAAAAGTGATTTTTTTTTTTCATGCCATAATTCAAATATGAAAACAGGACCACTCCAGGTAAAAGAGAACATCAAGTGGTTTGCACTGATACAGAGCTCTGAGACAATGGACTTCCCAAACAATCCCTGTACAAGTTATTGCCAACCTGATCAAAGTAACACAGCACTAAAGATAAAGGAAAACATCTCCGGAAAAATCTCAGAATTTCATATACCTCAGGTGCCTTGAAAACTCATTGTACAAATGATCGATTCTCTGGCCAATCCTCAGCGCAGGGATTAAAAAAACATCTGAAAAAGGCAACATGCACCAGACAGACACTAACAGTATTTTCAGCCCCCAGCTGCAATTCTACAGCCATAGAAACTTACATAGGACACCCGTACTCGCCGCCGGTGCACCAGCCCACAGCACTGCATGAAGAGGGGTGTCGCAGTCAGCGTGTGGCTTCACCGAGCTGCACTGTGCCTTGTCTTCTCATCAGAGCCACTGTCCATTTCTTCCCACCTTCAACTCCCAGGTAAGAGGCATGGGCAAATCAACACTTAGCTTCTGCCTCCTAGGTAGTCTCTAAAAACACCACCGTTCCTGCAGGCATGCCCAAACTTTCTTTTCCCTGTTTTTCTTTTTCAAGTAATTTGATATCTTCTTCAGAGAGTTGTCTATGGACCAGCAATCTGCCACAAGTATCATTCATTTCCCTGCAGTAACTATTGCTAACACCACATGGTTACGACTGGCCAGATCATTAGAGTTTCTTGGCAACGTTTTTACAGTAGCCATTCTCAGCTCAGGAGATTTTCGAACCTCAGAGAGTCTTGCATTTCACAAGGCTGCAGTTTCCTGCTCTGTGCAAGAGCAGGCCTACTCCTGATGCTGTTTATGTTACTGCTTCTGAGAACGCTGCTGCTCCCGCTGCTGTTCTGCCATCATTGCCTCCCTCCCGATGCACAGACTGGCAGCAGCAGCAGCATCCTTGCATCGATGTTCCCTCTGTCACACTTTGGGCATATCTGATCGGCGATTTCTCCCTCCTCCCTTTACCCTGAAAAATGATGGAGTCTAGACTTTAATTCACTCTAGATTCCTAGGACTACAGAACCATCCTCCAAACTGTCAGATGCTTTGTCTTGCAGTACGTGTTTCACATGAATTGTAGAAAGGACTGCTGGAGTGGCCTCGGGACCCGACTCTCTCAATCACTGCTGCTAACACAGTTGTGAGTTTCTGGCTTTTTTTTTTTTTTTTTTTTTTCTCTCCCCAAAATTTTTTTTCTCATT